TATCTGTTCTGTCACCCAAGGGCACTCGTGGCAGTGTGGCGTGCTGGTTTACGGGTCGAGATTATGCGCTGTACTACCAAAACTCGAGTTCGAGCACCGCTTGGGCTGCGAAGTTGATAAGTTTGAGTGGGGTCGAAACGGCATTCTACTCCTGCCTGGAGAAGAATACATTTTGAAAGCAGTGATTATGTGAAATTCAACGGAAACTAAACGTCTATTCATATATAATTGTGGGAAAATTCAATTATCAGTCCTTCATCAGGCCGAATCCGTATCACATATAGGGCCCTTTATGTTGGTCGTGTAGCTTAATGGCGATCAGTTCTGCCTCGAATTCGTCTAAGACTGTTGCTGACACTTTGGGGCAAGGTTGAATTTGTGTCCAGTCGAAGTGAAAGAGACCATTTTCGATGCATAATCAAGCGCTACCTTTGATTTGTCATAGTTTTAACTGACATCAGCTTATATGCCAGCATAATGAAGACTTTCATTTCGTATCGCTTTCACCAGAAGACGACGGCTAATTTGCGTTTTGGCTTTAATACCACTTTTAAGTTGATGCTGTCCCCGAAACATCTTGGATCGTTTCGCGCGAGTGTCGACTGAGCTTTTGGTTGCCGAATAACAAAGACCATCAGAACTGGGACTCATTTTTGCAAATGCGTCAAGTTAAGATGAGTTCAATAGAATTATCCAAATCATTTAATACCTTTTTATGTTTATAAACTTTCGCTTTTTAATTATGACTTAGAGTTAACTTGATATGATAAGTCCAAGTCCGGACAGTGTTCGTCATTGGACGGTAGAAAGCTTAAAACTATGAAGAATATCTCGTGGACGGCATCAACTCGAACGTGGTATTGTACAATGCGAATCAGCCGTCGAATCTTCATCTTGTCATCATCTACTTTCATACGAAATGAAAGTCTTTACAACAATCTAATCTCAGGCGATTCATTGAAGCATGTGTTTTTTCATGTGCAATCATAAACACACGCATCACATATATTTCGGTCAATTGGTTTTCTCCAAGGCCCCACCGTGGGTCTGGTATGTTTCAAAAAATGCATTTCATTTACACATTTGTGTCGATACTACTTCTCGACAAGACATTGACCAAATGTCGAGGCCACTTCTAACCCGCTCCCAACAACGTTATTTTCCCGCCATGTCCATACGCCTAGAGTGTCTTGTAAAACTGGCCTTCCTGCTACAGACCAGGCTGGAGCAGACTCAAGATCGTCTGTCTGCCGTCCAACTACGCCCGTCAATTGACCACGCGGACGAGCAGCGAAATGTGATGCAGCAGAATGTAGATCTGGTCGCCAGGTTAGAACGCGATCTGGCCACTGCTGAAGAGGAGGTGGAACGCCTGAAAGCCGAGATGGAAAGAAGAGATGATATTCGAGTAAGGCATAATATCACCGGTCAGTCTGGAAACTGGGAATTCTGTTTGACTATATCTGATGTCTTGCTTTGCCAAAAGGTGTTCTCATCAAGGCTGAAGTGAAATGTAGCATCTACATAAATCAGCACCCCCACGGGACTCGAACTCGGACTGCTGTCTGTGTAGCATCGCGACATGTCAACCGCAATGCCACATTGCAACGAATGCTCTTGGGTCAGAGGGCAGATGTGGTATTTGTGCGTAGAGGTTAAAGTTCAGGAGCATACCCTGTAGTGTCATGGTTCGAGTCCCGTTTGAGGTGTTGATGTGGCCCAGGTGAGGTCGAAATTGTATTCCACTTCAGCCTAGATGAGGATACCTTTGGGAAAAGCAAGGCCTACTCATGGGATTGTGGAAAGATTCAACTACCATTTCCCTTATCAATCTTAACTAAATGTGATTAACATATTCCATATATATGCTCTACTGGTAGCCTACTTATAAAACGAAAAATTTATTTTGAGTATCTATGGATTCATTTAGTCTCCATATCCTCATCAGCATTACCTCAACGCTTCAATTTGCATCCTCTCTGGAGGGATATTTTAGTATCAAGTATGCTCGAGAGACAGCGAATTGAGGATTACTAAGCTTAAATCGGCAGTTTCACGAGAAAGTATAGCTCATTTTGACAACCAATGAGGCCGACTTTCGAAACCCTTCTACAAAATGCTTTTTTCTATAACACCAAAATGCAAACGGACTCTATGAAGCCCAATTTTTATCACATCTACGCGGTTGAGGTAAGCGCAACTTCTCCGATGTAAGAGATAGAATAAACTGGTTTTCTGTCAGTGTTGATCACTTGATAGCTCTTCTATATCTTATTCACACTTTAGTTTCTCATTCTTCAATTCGTATTGATTTTCTTTTCCTCTCCTTTGTTTTCCCGTTATTCCCGTCATTTTGCCCTTTTTCATTCTCCTCGTTAAGGTTGACGAAATCGCCAAAATGTTGGCTCCTCTGGAACACTTGCGTGATAGGCAGTCACATCAAATAGCAGAAGTTCGCGCTAAAGCTGGTCGGCTGGCAGCCAGGGGCGAGGCACAGGCCAAGGATTTATATCTTGCCAGAGACCTTTTGAACGCGACTAGACAAAAGGAGCTCAAGGTTGGCATGTTGTTCTGCTATTAGGCTTCTATTTTTTGTTTATTAATAGTCTTAAAATACTTGAGTAAAACACAATAAATAAAGAAATACCGTAATTTTGTTACGTTTGACATTTCGACAAAAGATTCTTTACTCATCAAAAACGGAGTCACCATCTGCTTTAAAATGGCAGGCAAACTTCAGATTAGACGAAAAAAGGCTATATCTATAAATATTATACATTAATTTGGGAGCTTCAAAGTTAAATAGTCAATTAATTTTTCTGTTAAAATTTCTTTGTGCTATGTATATTGAAAGAATGCTCTTTCACTCAGCACAAGAAAATTATTTATTCTGATGTTTGAATACATATTTAAACTTAGTACTCCTCAATTCGCTGTCTCTCGAGCATACTTGATACTAAAATATCCCTCCAGAGAGGATGCAAATTGAAGCGTTGAGGTAATGCTGATGAGGATATGGAGACTAAATGAATCCATAGATACTCAAAATAAATTTTTCGTTTTATAAGTAGGCTACCAGTAGAGCATATATATGGAATATGTTAATCACATTTAGTTAAGATTGATAAGAGGAATAGTAGTTGAATCCAGACTAACAGTAGCTCATTTATATATGAAGTGTATTCACTCTATTTGGTTTAAGGTGATTAGTGAACTGGGAGTTGAATTTTCCCACCATCATATCAATATAGCTTATGTTTCCATTGAGTTTCGCATAGCCTTTCTTTCCAAAAGGTTATTCTCATCAGGGCGCAAGTGGACTGCATTTTCGACTTCGCTTGAATTGGTCTCATCAACACCGCAAGCGGGACTTGAACCCGGCTTGCGGAAGTGCAGTGTATAATCTCGACACTGTATACACTACACCAAATTGTTACAAGTGTTTTTGGGTCACATGACAGATTTGAGTTTGAGTTTTCCACATCACCCTCTCTGGTGGAATTGTCGATTAAGCAAAGTTTACATTTATAGAAGTGGGTTGACCTCGTTGTCTCAACTTGGGCATGTTGTCAGGGCGACTTAGTAGAACTCATCTAGTCCGAAGTTGTCTGTCATCGTAGTTGTCATGATTCCCAGCATCAGACGGTGGACTTGGTACATTCTCAAACATTGCGCCCGGAGTTAAATGCGCACTGAGACTGGAACCGAGTGAAATCGGTCAACCAGAAAGAGAAGGAACGGATCAACGAGACAATGAGATGATCCGGATTGGAGGCCGG